CATATTTTATTAGTACACAAAGTCTTGAATATTTTTTTCTATAAAACGTAATTACTAATTTGTAAATATTAGATGAAAATTCCTTTTTCAAAACTCAAATTTCTAAAGATATTTCATCTAAAGGGAATATAATGTATATATAGAACACTTAAAAAAATATCTTTAATTTACAAAAAAGAAAGCTAAAAAAACTTATAAAATTACTCTTATAATACTTAAAACAATACTATATAGGAGAACTTTTTTCTACCAAAAAGAAATAAGAATACAAAAAAATATAAATGGCAACACTGGATTTCGTATTGACATTTTCCTTTGATTGCCATCAATCGATGAACTCACAACACACAAAAGTATACAACTAAGTACACGTGCGGCCTTATAACTACATAAGTAGTGATAAGGCCGCCTTTGCACATCTCTGTACCATGTACCATTTTCGTGTGCAATAAAATGTTATAAATAAGTACACGTCAAGTCATATGATAAAAATCGCTTAAATCTAACAACATCATATATAATCTATATAAATATCTATACAGATTAAAAAGAATACGACAAGCAAATCACAATTCTACATACATTTGAACTGATAAATACTGCAAAAGCGAAACTTTAGATATAATATATTCTAATATATATACATATATTTAATCTACATACAAACAATTAATTTTATATATCCATATTTGGTCTGAGTGGAAATCGAACCTTAGATTTTTGTCGAAGTAATAAATACTTCAAATATTGCTATATATTCACTATACGAGTATAACGCCGTTTATTATCATGTCGTCCATTCTTTAAAGAAAATAACCCATACACCATATTTTGTTTCAACTCAAAACCTAAGTAAACTAAGATTTTTTTTATTTAATATTAACTGTGCTGTTTGTATGTAGATTTGAATACAAGCAACAGACGGATGCTTTATGGCACCTATATATAATATATATATATATATATATATATATATATATATATTAAATTAATACTGTTCATAAAATATACTTCATTTCAACCGTTGTTAGCCTTTATATGTATTTATAGTCTGTGCATTAATCCTAGTGTATGTCGAGTGATTAAACAAAAAAAAATGCTACTTTTTTATAAGCACGATACTAATTTAAAAAAAACAAAACTACATATATTTAGATATCAATATTGTGACAAAAAAACTATCACTTGTAAACTTTTCACGCATATAAGAAACAACCCGAACAAAATACTTCGATTTGTTCAAATATGATAAATATTAATTTTAGATATCTAACTAAATATAAGTTAAAATCATCAATGAAAAAAGTATTAGATGCACAATCACCGACAAAAAATGTCTTCACCTGAATGAGTGCTTATTTGAACATTTGAGCGCGATTTTAATTAGTTTTTTTGTGAAAACAACTTTAAGCATTGCGTTTAAGGTTCAATTTACATTAACCTAAAAACAATTGGTGACAGTTTTAAGAGAACTTTTGCATGGGATTGTGTATCAAGTATTTTTTTGAACGATGGTTGAAATAATATAAAATCATTCACCTACCAGTTAATATACAAGTTATATGAAAAAATAATTTAAAAAAAAACCTATACATGTATTCAATAATTAATTGACGATTACAAAAGTCATGGTTTAGTTAAAACGTTAGTTTAAATATCGTATTGATAATAACTAAGGACCGTAGCACACTAATTGGTCATGTGATTATTTTTTTAATATAAAAGTAGCATTCCCATAATGTTAGCGACAAAAAATCTAATAATTAACTTTCATAAGACATGCATTTATTAAGGAATTGATTTATTTTGTGGATTTTTATAGTAAAGAACTACTTATATATCATCAAGATACTTTTTAAGATACTTTTTTATAAATATTATAAATAAAAGTGGATAAACACTACAAGTGTGAGACAGTGTGTAAATAGCTTTAGATACATTCCTATATACATGTCTAAGCATCTACAGAGACTAAGAACAAAATAACTACATTAAATTTTATAATTATTTAACTATTAATACGCAAAATAAATTTAAAATTTAAATATTTAATGTTATTATATTAAGTTTTATGTTGGAAGAGTAAAAAATTGTAAAAAAAGTTTTTTTGTCTATGATCGTATAAAAGTCGCCATATTGTCACTTAACTAACAACAGTGAGTTTTACATTAAACTTATAAACTTCTCTTCTATATGGAATCTAAAATAAAAAAAAATGTTAGATTCACACGAATATTTGACATTTTAAATAAAATTTTTTTTTTTTCGGATAATTTTAGTAAATAAAAAAAATATATACATTATAATATTGGCCATATTTGTCTTTTTTTATCGGTGGTTTTTTACTGTCTAGCACGGCAGCACCGGCACGATGACGACACGGATTTGACAAGAAAAAAAAGCCGTAAGCCGTAAAGCGTGTAAAATTGAGAAAAATAGAAAAAGGTTCTATAATTTTTTCTGTGCCAACGAATGAAAAAAAAACTATTAATGAAAGATTGCAAAAATCTATAGAAACTATCTACACAATATTGTGTCCCGTTTTCACTAATTTTAGAATAGTTTAATTGTTAGTTAAGAGACGATTTAAAATAGGCGAAGTTGATATATTATATTATTTTGAAGAGTAGGTAATATCGTTATGACGTATGATTTGTTTAATTATTAGGTATTTTTTTTAATTTTATATTATTTATGATTGTTGAATAGTTATTAAGAGGCAGTATAGACAAAAAATCTATATGTATCATATACAATAAAGCCTTATATAACGATTTTGTATTATTATTATAATTAATAGAGCCACACTATTACAAAGTACTCAATTCCTTTGCATATAAAATGCATGTTTTTTTAATAAAATCTTGTTTGTAATCACTTGAGCAGAGTGTATACAAATTCTGGCATTGACTTCTTACTCTATACATCGTAGTCAGATTATAAAATATCTAGTCATTTTAAAATTGCCATGATCAATGATCTACCAATCAATCAATGATCTTAAAGTTTTGAATGGAATTAAGAATGAAATCTATGAGACAATTACATATAATATTTATATAATGTGTGTTTATTTGTAACTTAAACATTAATTATTATTTGCAAATATGATTTTTTTTCAGGTATTTCAAAACTCAATATCATATGTAGGTAATACTTACATTAATATTTTACTACTTCCAAAAAGATATTAAAAATTGTTATTTTATATGTATGAACGACCCATGTGTTCTAAATTCTCTTCTGTATAATTATTATAATTAAAACATTAAATTTCATAATTGTGTGACTCTAAAAGTTATCGACGAATGTGACTGTACAGGCGGTCATTCAAATATGTATGTATCTATCTCCGTATGTATGTATGTGTGTATCTCCGTATCTACATAACGATGGTCTATTAAAGTATATCAATAATCAATCGATTTAATTACCTAATTATTTTTCTTTCAATCCAAAATTATGTACATAAAGAAAAAAATTAGGAAAACTGAACAAAAAATAATGCACATAATTTTGATTTCAAAGACAATATTATGTAATATTAAGAATAGTCCCAAATACTATTATTATATTAGAATCTCTACGAGAAAAAGTTATTCGGTAGCATCAATCAAAAAAGTACTTGATACACAATCAGCGACATGAAAGGTCCTCACCGAATGAGCGCTCATTTGAACATTTGAGCACGCTATTAATTTTGTTTTTGAGAAAACAATTTTAACTATTGCAATTAAGGTTCAATTTACATTGTAGTAGTATATTTATTTCAACTAGAATAATTACCTAAACAAAATTGGTGACAGTTTTAAGAAACTTTTGCATGGGATTGTGTATCTAGAACTCTTTTGATTGATGTTCAGCAAGCATAAAAATTATTATCAAAAAACAAGCTATTTCAAGTTCAAATATTTTTTTAGATTATCTTAACTTAACTTATAGTCCCATAGAATACACTCAACATTCAATATAAACCTCTTTCAACTGAAACTTCACATAATGATTAGCAATAATATGATTTAACTAAAATCAAAAACTATTTTTTTTATCAATATTAATAATAATATTAAATAATTCATAAAAACCTGCTTTTCTTATTTTTTAAAGTACACGGGTAATAGTTTCTAACATTAATTCGAGTCAAAAAATGACAAAAAGATGATAATGACAGTTTAGAATTATATTTTTTTTATTCGTTTGTAAAATGTCAAACAGTATCTTATAGCAGCTAAGTTAAACCTAACGCGAAAAATATTATAAAATCGATTAAATATTACTAATTAATTATGTATAAAAAGTAGTAAGTACACAAACTATCGAGAACCAGAGGACTTTTATAGACGAGATTTATTCGAGTAACAAAATTTAACTGCAATATTTCATAGAAATGATCGTTAATACATACATATTTTTCATTGCGGTATTATTAAAATTATTTTAATATAAGAACATTTCTGGCTCGCATCAAATGAGATAAACCAAACCTATCACAGTTTTGCAGTTTCGACATGGCAACCCCAAACCACAGACTAAAGACATATCCAATAATAAATTTAAATAATTGTTTTTTTTTTAAATCACATTAGTATATATTTAACTAGATAGGATAACGTCGCCATTTTGAGAAGCTTATTTTTTTTGCAATGACAAATGCGGTAAAATTTTTCAAGATCATATTTAGTAAAAAAAAAATACAGGTATTTCCTAAATTAAATTCAAAGAAAACTTTCAAATTAACAATGTAAGTTATAAAATTTTATTAAAAAAAAATACAGTAATAACTAAATATGTAGACATTGTATGATATCATGTAACTTTTAAACATATCTTAAATTCATAGATAAATCAAACCTAAAAATAGAAGATAAAAATATAGACATATAAAAACTTTAATTCTACCGCATTTATCATATAAAAGACTTTGTAAATAAAACAATGACTTATCAAGATGGCGGTTGATGGCGTAATACATTTAGCTCTTACTCAGTACATTCGCTCTACTCGCCGGTGTCCACCCACGTCGCCTCTTCCGCTATTCTGTCCATACAGTTGCATAGGAATTGATACTGGAAACGAAATAATATCTTTAATAAGCATAAATAATTTGACTATAAAGTAGACGGACTTAAAAAGTGTATGTGTGTGTGTGTATGTGTGTCAGTCAGCTCAGATGCAGAACTGGAGTTTACTCTTACAAGAAATAAAATGTTTGATGATTTAAAATGTTTCATTTTATTATCAAAATTTAATTAATCCATACTAATATTAAGGCAGTGGTAGCCCAGAGGTAACGTGGTCGCTTGGGAAACCGAGTGAAGCGAGTTTAAATCCCGGGTTTCGCACCTCTGATATTTTCATGTGCGGATCATTTCCAACATGATCACCACTTGTCTTAACGGTGAAGGAAAACGTCGTGAGGAAACCTGCATGTCTGAGAGTACCTAACAAGTTTACAAAAGACATGCTCAATCCGCCAACCCGCACTGGGCCAGCGTGATGGACAATGGCCTAATCCCCCTCGTATTGAAGGGAGGCCCACTCCCAGCAGTGGGACGATAAGAAGGGCTGAATACACATACAGATACATACTAATATTCTAAAGAGGTAAAGTTTGTAAGTTTAAGATGTTGTAGGGGATAATGTCTTGATCTACTGAACCGATTTAGATGAGTAAGAAGATAGTTTAAGAACCTAAGAAGGACAGAGGTACTTTTTATCCCGGAAATCATCTCTTAAGGGGGTGAAAATGGGGATGAAAGTTTGTATGGGGAACTAACCTAGGGACAACCTGAGCGAAGCGAGGGAGTCGCTAGTTATATTATACGAGTATATAAATAATTGTAGTATTATTTATATATCTTATATTATATTTAATAATTATACTATTATAAAAATTTTGAAATCATATTTTTTTTCGTATTCTTCTTAGCAAATTCTTTCATTTGATATTCATACTATGAGGGTTATATTGAGCATTAAACACATTAGGCTTTTGAGTTAACACTTGTACTAATTACACTTCTCATAAAATTTCCATATTTAAAATAAAATTCATTAATTATATATTTTTAATAAAATTCATCAAAATACATTTTAAATAAATTTCAATTTTTATCTATGGCCCTCGGGGCCATGAAAATCGATTATTAAGGAGTAAACTCCAATATAAAAAAATAGTAACTTTATATGGGTCTTTTGTACTTTTATAGGTGCACATGTCGCGTAACATACACAAAAAAACAAGAATATAGTTTTTGTGGGCGAGCAAATAGCACGTGAGCACGAATATTATTTAACAATATCATTTCAAATAGGCTCAACACGAAAGCGCTCAACTCGTAGACCGTATATATGTCCGCGGATATGTGTATATTGCGTATGCTTGTACGTGTGTGCGTGCATATGTGTGTATATTGTGTGAAAGAGAGAGTATACGAACGTATAGCGTGTACTGTAATTTATGTGTGTGTACGCATATGTGTGTACTTGGTGCGTGTGCGTGTGAGAAAGAGAGAGAGAGCAAGGGGCGGTACACTGACGTATGGCGTGTATATGGTGAGGGCGCGCGGCGGCAGGTCGGGGCGGTCGGCGCGGCGGTACAGCACGCGCGCCGCCGCCGCCTCGTCGTCGGCGCGCCACTCCAGCACGGCGGGCCACGGCACGCGCGCGCCGCCCGCGCCGCCCAGCGCCAGCCCCGCCCAGCCCAGCGCGGGCGCGGGCGCGGCGGGCGCGGGCGCGGGCGCGGGCGGGAAGGCCACGTGTCCGTAGCCGGGCAGCGCGCGCGCCAGTGCGAGGTAGTCGCGCGCGCGCCGCGGCTCCTGCAGCGCCTTCAGCTGGTAGAGGCGCGCGCCCGCCGAGCACACGCCGCGGTTCACGTCCTCCACCGCCTATGAACACGCACACATATTTATGATTATCATACATTACATACATACATAGATTACAGATCTTATGTAAAACAACCTGAGTTCCTCAAAGAGAAGTCCAAAAAATCAAAATGAATACGTAAAAAAGTCGGAAAAAATAGTTTTATCACAAAATATTTTAAATACCATATTCCACATCAATCTGAGAAAGTATTATACAGATTTAACATAATTACAAAGTATCAAATTTCAAATAAGTCACTTCTATATAAAGTAATAAAGATCAAGGTTTTATTATACATTATACAGTAAAATCAAAAACAAAGAATCAATCTTCAACTAAAAAAAATTTCCCCAAGTCTGTCACTTTTCTTATCATGGCGCTAGTAGTCAATTAAATCATATTTTAAAAGAACCAAAGTATACGTTATTAATGAAAAATGCACATATTTGCTTGGAAGCATTTAGTGTTATTGAGCTAGTGCTAGTGACGTTCGAGGAATAGGTGCGTTCATACCGACTCTGTCATTTCTCTAATAATAAAGACACAAATTTTCTAAAAACAACTCAGTGCTCTCCCATGTCTCTATCTCTATCTCTCTCTTACCATAACATACACCTTTTCCCAATATCTGTATAAATATTATCAATGTAAATGTTCATGTGTATGGATGTTTATTACGCAATCACGCAAGAACGGCTAAACGGATCTTGATGAAAATTGGCACAGAGGTAGGTTATAGTCTGTAAAAACACATAGGCTACTTTTTATCCCGGAAAAATATACGGCTCCCGGGGGATAGTTATGTTTTTGTTTTTCTATATATATTCTATATACATTTAACGCTAACCTGCCAGAATATGAAGGCAGCCGCCATCTCGTCCTCGTCGACGAGGCGCATCTCCACGTGCGGGTTGAACAGCCACTTGCGCAGCGACAGGCAGCTGCTGGACGCCGTCGAGTAGTTCTGGATGTACAGCGAGTGCGGGCACTCGTTCGGCTGCAGCTTGCGCTCTGGAATGCGTATGTCGGATTTGTGAGATGTATTGTATTCAGCCCTTTTTAACGTCCCACAGTTGGGCACGGGCTTTCTTCAATACGAGGAGCATCAAGCTATAGTCCACCACGCTGGCCAAGTGCGGGTTGGTGGACTTCACATGTCTTTCGAAAACTTGTTCTCTCAGACATGCAGGTTTCGTCACGATGTTTTCCTTCGCCGTAAGGCAAGTGGTAATCATGTTAGAAATGATTAGCATATGAAAATATCAGAGGTGCGAGACCTAGGATTTGAACCGGTATCGCTCGGTTTCCCAAGCGAGCGTGTTACCACTGGTTTACCACTGCCTTTTTTGGTGAGCAGTATGCATGAAATTATATTTTAACCGTAAAAAGAGACGTATGATATGATTTTAAGAATGGAATGGAATGAAAGATGAGTAAAAGAAAATATACATTTTTTTGTCATAATGGCGACACGACTGTACGCGTGAACATTGTGTTTTATATTTATAATTTAAATAGAATAAATGGTTATAAGTGTGTCATAAACGCTTTCATTTGTACTCCCGTATCCTACATGTATTCAGATCTTATTATCGTCCCACGGCTGGGCGTGGGCCTCCCTTCAATAAGAGGAGGATCAGGCGATACTCCACTACGTTAGCAATAACAAGCCACTTTTTTTGTGTGCGTGCGTTTGTGTGTGTCTGTGTATGTGTATATCGACTGGACAAATGTTTAGATAAAATGAAATTTTAAAAACACATATCGTCTATAACTTGAGGTCACTTATAAAGTTATTGGTAGGGGTCTAGGAGCGCACGCCAAGCAATCTTGCTTGCGAGCTTGCTATACACGAGCGGAGATACAGATTAAAAGTATTATTAAAATGATATTTGAAAACTAGTTTTTGTTTTTATTATATCGTTTTCCCTTTCTTTTGCTATGCAGGGTATTAAAAGAAAATAATTAAATATCATCATTATTTTGAGCACAAACGTTAAGACTCTTGACATCTTTAAAAAATTTGCGTACAAATAAAGTCCATAAAAATCCATTTCTAAGCTCTATTTAATTAATTAACCAAAAAAACACCAATAAAAAATCAACTCACCAAAATTATATTCAACAATTTCGAACAAATAGAAGTACTTCTGCACGGCCGCGGACAGGCCTATCTTGTCGCAGACCGCGCGGTACACGTCGTCCGCGTTGGTCGACTTGAGCACGGACACCGTGACCACCTCCTTGTCGGGCAACAGCACTTTGAGGTCCACGGGGGTGGGGTTAGATGAGTCGTCTGAATCTGTTAGGAATTCCTGTACAGCGTCCGATTCTGCTATCACACGGACTGCACATACCTGGAATGTTACCAAAGTATCTGTACACATTTTGTTTAGATTAAAGTAAATAAATAAATATAAATATGTTGGGACATTACACAGCACCATTTAATTCCACGGTAAGCTACTAAATCGGTTCAGAAGATCCAAAGATTACCCCCTACAACGTCACAAACTCACAATTCACAAACTTTACCTCTTTATAATATTAGTATAGATTACATCTATCAATGGCCAGGTTACTTCAGAATTCAGACAATGGAAAAAAAATATTTGTTGATACAACTTGTAATGGTAATAATTCGGTCTTAAAAATATTTGATAAGATCTAAAGTTCTTAGAGTGCACTAAGGAGTTTCTCTACCTTAAGAACGATTGATCATAGGAAATATTGATTAGGACCAAAATAGATAATTTTATGGCCTATTAAAAAATTTTGTCAATGATTTTTGGCCACTTTACAAAACACTCAATAATAAACACACAGTCTTAAATAAAACTATATACTTGCTCTTGATTGGTCATGAATAGATCACTTTACAATGATTTAGTTTCATTGAAATAAATCAGTTCGATTAAAGTGTCTGGGCGTTACAATTTTTTCCCACGCACGAAAAATACTTTTTTAAAATTCAGACACACTATGCATTTTCAAGATGAATACATATTCTTCTGATGTGGCTTTTTGAACACTTAGGAACCAAAAAAAAATAATGGTAGTAAGTGGTTGTTAGCACACTTGAAAATGGAATTTTAAATGTTTTTTTGGGGAAAGAAAAATGGGAAAAAAATGCGAGAAAGTCTTTCCATCGCTTTTTACATGAACTCAAAACAGACGATTCGGATACAGGTGTGCTATATTACACAGAAAAGTACACCTAATGTTCAATGGTTTAAGATTCAAAATTATTTGTACTGGTTATTACCTTTTCTAAATACTGTTCCAGGCCTCTCCTCCTTGCGTCCAACTGTTGCTCGCTCAAAGTAAATGGCCACTTTCCCGGCAATTTTGGAAAATTGAATCCTATAAAACGTTACAACACAAATTCTTAAATTATTTTTAGGTTTTGAACAATGCAATTGTGCGGAACTAACGATTGACTGACTTTTTATCTGAATTCATTTATTTTCCCAGAGAAACCCTTTCATTCTTGGCTCCAATTGTGCGTAAAAAAATGAGAAAGTGCCAAATTTTTGCATTTATAATATTACTTAGGATGAATAATAATATAATTTTAGTCTACCTTCATCTAAAAAATACCTGAGAAAATGATTTAACCTTACTAAACCCTTCAATAATAAACCTCTCATACAAAACTCACCGAGAAATTCCTTCCTCAGCACCTGATGCAACGCAGCAAACTCCCTATACCTACGGCTACACAAATGTCTTCCAGCCATATGGACGTTAAAGGCCACGAACGACCGCCCCGTGTTTCTCTCCATCACCACCCGGTAATCAGGAATGGATACCGGTAAAGACCTTTTGTCCGTATAGTCATATCGTTGGTATACCGTCGCCCTGGAGTTGGCAGCACCCCCTATCACACCTACGGGAGCTGACCCATCATCGCATGGCTCCAACCGTTCTGCCTCCTAAAAGTTTTGGGAATTCTAAATCAACCTGTTGATATGCAAAATCTTTTACGAAATGCCTTAAAAAATATGGGAATACAAGAATTTTGAACATGAAGAACATAAAGTTTTAGTTTTACTACACTGACCATGAGGTACGAAACGCTTTATGAGGCAGTGACAATATAAATAAAATATGCATATGCAGTTAATTGTCGTAGGACGCCTACAGTCTAATGAAGTCCCTGAAATACATTTGAGATTTTTTAAATTGTTTTTAAAAGAAAATTCTATTCTACTCTATTATTTCGTTTAGTGGCTTCCAGAAGTGCCAGTTGGACACAATTTAAAACAAGTTTCTACTTACTTTTGGCGTGACAGAAATGACAGTAAGTGTGAGACAATCGCCACCAGATTTGATCAGGTCCACCACTTGTTTGTGGGTCGCTCCTTCTACGTTCACCCCATTGCTGGAAAAAAAAACCCAAAAAATCATTAATTTTAAACATGGTAACAAAACCAACGGTGTTTAAGCTAATGGTAAAATGATTCATATGTCAAGTAAAACACAATAATTGTAATGTTAAATGTGTATCACATTTTGTAATTTCAAATGCACCATTATTAACATTTTTTGCATTAATTACAATAAAAAATACAATTAATATAATCTATTAATATTATCAACGTGTAATAATATGTACCATCATACTTAAATAATACGCAAAATATTTAATTTCACTAGATTAAAGTGTCGTAGCAACTGAAAGTATCACAATTCCCAAACGTAAAATATCAAGAAATTATATCACCTTATAGGTTTTGATTCCGATTCCAAATCGTATATCTCAAATCCAGTGTTAGCACAATAATAGTAGCAGTAACGTAACGTTCCCACAGCCCCTCTGTGCAATGACATGGTATACTATTACTTATTTTACCCAATAATTATTTCCACCAAGTAAAAAATGTTTCACAATCACATAATAACAAATTCATTTTATTATTAGGAAAAAAAAATCACAACTTTTTCTATATTAATTAGTGCACTGTCCAAAAACACAGATGGGCCATTTCTATGGCAATTACATTATTTTATTCAAGCAACACCGGGTGTTCGATGAACACAGACGAGCAGACATGTGAACAGATGCAATCGGTGAGCAATGAAAATAATTAGTTCATTAGCAATAGAATAATTAAACAGTGATTAAATGCATTTACTGCGACGTTGGACTAGTTTTATGTATTGCTATTAAGGACACTGCATTAGAGCCTTTCTTTTAGAAACAATATAATATTTTTTTTATTTCTCTTAGTCCGGAATAGGATAATAAGTATTAAAAAATCAGAAAAATTAACGAAAAACAAATTAAAATTTATATGGCTAACGCTGGCTAATAACTATTTATATTTAAAACGTACCTAACGACGAACCTGAGCGAAGCGCGGGTGAGCCGCTAGTATTAATATATAATATAACAACAGGTTGTAATTAATAAAGTTGTAATTTTTTTAAACGGTCAAGTATATTTTATATTTTGCACGATAATCTACAATAAAAGCTCTTTTAGAGCATCACTGTTCCTGGACACGGGCCTTCCCTCAATGCTAGCTAGATAAGGCCATAGTCCATCTCGCATGTGGATTGGCAGGTATTACACGCCTTTCGAAGACAAGTTAGTTCTTCTCAAAAACTTCCTAGCCATATTTTTCTTCGCTATACTAGCAAATGGTAATCTCAGAGGTACAAAGCCCGTAAGCCAGAAGTTAAAGGTGAATGAGTCAGGACAATGCAAAAATAACTCCATCCTATCTTTACATAATTGTATCAAAAGTGCAATCAATAACGGGAGAACATAATTTCTTGTGAGATAACAGTTAAGTAGGTTACTGGAGTATTCATAATGAAGCTAGACAGTTTATTTACACTTAATATATTTTAATTGCTACTTTGTTTATTTTATTATGTTTACAAAATGATATGGATATTTTCCGAGCCTTATAAAAGAATATTCAAACCTACACAACACTTGAATAATCTTTAGAAAAAAGCTATAATATTATGTATTGACATTCACAAGTCCTTTGCATGAAACAAGAGTTTTTTTTTTATTTTTTTTCTTAAAGTAATTTGTCGAGTGCCTAGCAAGATTTTTTGTAAATACAAAGAATGGTTTGTATTTTTTAATTACTTATTTAAATGAGTACAGTGGGTTAATCTGCCTTTACATCCTGTGCAATGTTAAATTGTTTATACAGATAAGCTACTAAAAGCATAATTATTTATAATTATATTATTATATTACAGTATCATAAAACAATCTCAACGATTGTAAAGGCTGAGTAATATACACAGTTGTTAGCAAAGTGGCTACTAAGTATATCACTAATCCATTAATTACTTACATCCCACTTTTGCTTTGCAATCATTAAAAGCGTTTTTTTTTCCGCGGATTTATTTTGATTTTTTATTCCAGAGGTATAGGCACAACTAAGAGTTTAGATAAAACGAGTTTTAGATTTTTATTTTAGAACTAGCGACTCAACCTAGCTCCGCTCGGGTTCGTCCCTACTTACATTTTAACGTTTAATATAGGTTTCTCAGAGATATTATCCCGCAGTAAAAAGTATTCTATATGTTGACCAGGATAACCAGCTATCGTCATAGCAAATTTCATCAAAATCCCTCCAGTGGTTTTCCGTGATGCGGTCACAGGCAGACAAACAGACACACAAAATTCTAAAATTTATTAGGCCTATGTATCGATAATAATGACTATTTCAATAAGATTTTCCGAAAAAATATTTGATATACAAATTCGACTCAGAATTTTATTATACTATGTATAAGATGTCTCATTCGACAAATCTTTATATATATAATTCTTCTGTGAGTGTGTATGTCACTGAACTTCTCTCAAACGACTGGACCGATTTTGATGAAATTTTTTGTGTGTGTTCAAGGGGATCTGGGAATGGTTTAGATTCACAATTTGAATAATAATTTTCATCAAAAAAATTATTAAAAAAAGTTTGAAATTTTCAAATTAAAGACGTGGTGACAGGACAACGTCTGTCGGGTCCGCTAGTATTCCCATAAATCTAATAAAGTATATAGCGATTTGATTTTGATTTAACACCTTTTAGATTATAATATAGGTACAGTTTGCCTTGTCGGCAAAAAACGAAAATATTTTCACATTAATTCGTTTTTTTTATTCGGTTAACCGTGGTACAGGTGCAGTCTGTGATACGTGAATTGTTCATTTTATACGAACGAATCGGGTTTTCTAACCATATCAGGTTTAGTCGTACTTAATACAAACATAATTTTGCAAAAAGTTTCAGTACATTGTTAAATAAGTTAACTGGTTCTAAAACAACCGTATTTAGTCGTATGTAGTCGCATTTATTATAAATGTAATTTTATTAATAAAAAAATCGATCAAGTACGAGTCGGACTTGCACACGAAGGTTCCGTACCATAATCGTTTCTTTAAATTTGCGTGGCAGCCTTTTTGAAATTCGCCATCTTGGTTTTTTATTATTTCTTGTAATAGCAGCAATAGAAATACACACTCTGTGAAAATACTATAGTAAATAGTAATATCTCAAATCTCTACCTGTTGCGGTTCATAAGATACAGCCCTCCGACGTCCGTCTGTCAGAGGGCTGTGTATCTCATGAACTCATGAACTCTTATGCACGGACGGATAGAGGACGCTTAATAAAGGGCTGCATTGACATCCTTCGTGTATGGAACCCCAAAAACGAAGACAAATTTTGTTGCGATTTCATCATTTTAACAAAAAATATCGCAATTTCCAGTTTCTTAAGGTTTAATTTATTATTTACTTTATATATTTGATTTTATAACGTCATTTTACGACATCAAAATGTAATAGTGTTGAAGAATAAATTATGTAAATGTAATTATTTTCTATTGAACAATAAAAACGTAAAGAAGCCATAGTAAATGGTATTTAATGTATACTTAGAATTATAACGCTAAGCTAAAGCCATAATCTACAAATACTATTAAATAATTTATTTACTATTTTATTTTCTCTAAAGAGTAGGAGACAATTTTACGTCAGTGTCAATTCACCAAAAGAGTTTTTAATACAGAATTAATGACATAATATAAGTCTTAAAGTGTGCGCGCAGACACAAGTGCACTCTCTATTCCTGTCACTCTCATACTCTGGTGGGACGACTGCTCGACACGACCAGTGAGAGTTAAGGCGCAGAACCGACGGCTTTACGTGCTCTCCGAGGCACGGGGATGAAACACCGCCAACTTCCCAACTCCGGGCTGTTACTGACGCTTACTTATACAGAAAAGACTCAATAACTAAACTAGGCCCGACCCGGGACTCGAATTTAATACCTCTGGGTGTGCAGCCGTAAATGCTAGCCACTACACCACCGAGGCAGTAGTCACACCAATTATTGACCATTTGAACAAATAATTGAGGCCACAATTTGTCAACAAAAATTTTGACAAAAATTAAAAACTATTCACCATGATATTTTGACAATATTTTTATAATTAAAACTAAATATTGTATGCAATACTTAGCAGTTCACAGGTTCATATCTGACTAGAAACATAAATATTTGTCAGGCTTGGGTGTGCCCTTGTGCTGTGTATGTTAATATAGAGCAACCTTGTGGTGGCTGTTGAGTGTGTAGCAATTGAATTATTTATTTTGTGACTTTTAGGCATTTCAGTTGGTTGCAGATAACTTTGCTAATGTTGCATTGAATAAAGAAGATGTAAGAGATTGACAGCATTGCTATGAGCATTGAATATACAAAAATATTAGCTATAATAGCTAGTTAACTATGTATGATAGAAAATTAGTTATTCATTAACTGCATTCAAATTCATTTGATTTGTTTTTAAAACTAATAACTGTTATTAATAATACTTCACAAAATATTAGTATTATAGTAGATTGCAGTCTATGGCTTTTAACTTTTTTTGTTGAAAAACAAAACTAATAATATATGAATAATTAAAAGTTTGTCTTTAATTGTATTAAGTTGTCTGACACAACTATCTTATTCGACTATGGGTTGATAACAACTAAAGTATTTTTATTTTTTTTAAACCCACATTTGGCGGTGACATATGCCATATGGATATTGTATGTAACAGATAATAAATTTGATCTATATAAAATGAATAAGTAAACATAAACCTCTGTAATATATCAGTTAACTAAACCTTTAAAATATTTACTATTAAGATATGTTTAGTTTTCTCAAGTTGTAAACATATACATATTTCAGCATAGGTGTAATAAGGACATCTAGTTTAGAATTGTTCTCTATGTACCTTATTTGGAAGGTTGACGACAATAAAATTGTTAATTCAAATGAATTTAAATCATGTTCATGCTTTATAGCAAAAAAACAATCTTGACAATAGCCATTTCTTTTGTAAAGCAGTGTCTAGTGAGAAGTAGTACAAAATTTTTATTTCAAAATAAATGTTATTTCAAAATCTCTTTCTTTATTGCAAATAACTAAACTAAAATAAAAAATAGACTACCAAAAATTTAACAATCACATCACGTTTACACAATAAGCGACAAGGTGTAACAGTTTCTAAATGTATTTCAAAACTGGTTCCTATGACTCACTATGTAAATTACATGTACAATAGGTAAACAAATGACAATATTTCTCTCATAAAATAAAAACCACTATCACTATATGAATACCAGTTTGTATTAAATACCAGAAATCAGTACAACATAGTAATTATAATAAATAACATATATGTCAGGGAAAATACTGCATAAAAAGCTATTTTTTTACTTATTTATTACAAAATTTACTCTATGACAAGGTGGCCTAATAATAAGCAAATAAACAAAAAAGAACACATTCGTCGCTATGGAAATGCAAACAATCATGGGAAAACCTATATGACTGAATTCTAAATACCAATATGGGTATTATTGAATGTATTATATAAAATACGTCTGTTCATATGCTACTTACACTTCAAGGATCCTGTCCCCTTTCCTTATGCCAGCCTGCTCAGCAGCACCCTGTTCCAAAACAGCGCTTACGTGCTGCAAAGGAGCATATAATTCACCATTAATCGATCTCAACTGCCCACCTTCAGAAACTTGACCGCGAACATTAAAACCAAATCCAGTGTCAGTTTTGTATATAGTAACGCGACGAGGCCCATTATTAGTCACTATGGCCTTATTTTTATCAGGCCGAACAATACTGTTATTATCGGCCTCTGTCTCAGCCATTTTGGACAATTTTGAACACAGATGACATACGAGCTTCACTTAAAGTGTCATAAAGTGACAACATTCAAACCATGGATGACAAATAAAATAGATGAATTAGTTCCATACGAGCTCTTGGTGGATCTATCTATCCCTTTCATTTGCTTGGTAACTAGCATGCTATCTCTACATTTGGCGACAACGAGTGGGACAACAACTTATTTCTGTCGCAGTTACATACGTCACTACTGTGACGTCACTGCAATATTTTGTCATTTTTGAAATTTTCAAGTTTTAACCGTTGTTATTACTCGCCCCTGGGGACTAGGGTGTGAGGGCTTGCAGTTTTTATATTATTTTACACTTTAAATTTACATTTTATCAATTTGTAGATTAGTATTGATTAATGTGGATAAGTGCTGATTAATGTAGATCAGTGATATAGTTAAGATTTGTGCTTGGATACAAAATTTGTGATTTCTTCATTAGTGTTTCTCTTCCTTTTATTGGTTTTTTATTAATGTTGTGTAACATGGGAAAGCATTATAATTTCGAATTGTCAGGAAGGAACAGGTTTTTCATGCCATAGAATGCCTTATAAAGATGCACTTCAATTTTATAACGTATACTTATAGAAATTCTTATAAACAGGGTTTATTTCTAGAGTAACTCTATCTGACTAGGTTTCTGCCAATGTAGCTGCAATAAATTCATTAATTTCTGATACTAAGGTAAATATACTTTGTAGTGCCAATGATGCATCAAGTGCTATCCATTATGAAGTTAATGGGAACAAAACCTATCATAAGTATGATGTACCTCATTTACTGAAATGTTTCAGTAATAATTTTCAGAAAAAGAATTTGCTCCTAGGCAGTCAGCATGCTCAATGGGATTATGTTCATATGTTGTATAAAGTAGATGACCATAAAGGTGCTGCAAGGCTAACAAATTTACTGACAGGCATATTTATCCAAACTCTTTTGTTAAGATGAAGGTAACTATATTGTTAAGTTAAGTAAATTAAGATATTATTTTATTACTTTAGATATTGGATATTATCTTAAATTTAATATGAAATTGTTTTTAAGAAGGAAACTTCTTGAAGCTATTGATATTATTATACTATTTATTATTATACTATTCTATTCTAATATGTAAAAGCCTATCTATTGTATAATGTTAAAAGCTATTTAAGGGCTTAATTGGCTTATCTACCTAGACCCTAATAATAATAAACTAATACTATATTTAAATAAGCTACTATTCATCTAAAGTAGTTACTAGTACATATACTATAGTTATGGTGACTATTTGTTGTATTACATTATGAAGTATATGCTGCGCAGGTGTTTCAGCAGTTGAAGTGTTTCAACATCTATAAGTCTCCTGATAAAGGCTTTTAGTTTCCAGGAAGAACACAATTATTGTAATACATTAAATGTAAATATTGAGAATGGCTTATTCACAGCTGAGATTATTTTATTCATTAATAATAAAATACATGATCCTTCTAAGAATCTGTCATCTCTAGTATGGTATGCAATTTACATACATATTTCCCGATTATAAAAGCATTTGAAAATCTTGATACCTCTTGGTACACTTGTGTAGATCATAGAGAAATATTTTTAAGAGCATTCTCATTATTTATGATATGTATAATATAAATTTTAATTGAAGAATACATAAAGTGGATTCGAGAAAAACGGCCGGGGCTGATTCAAACAAACAAATAAGGCATTTACATACAAGAGGGAGTAGGTCAAAAGGAAACATCCACATTGGGGGAAAATGTTGATTTTTTTAGTGTTTATTATTATTTTAACACTTTTTAAATATTTTAATATATTTTTAATTTAATTTCTATTGTTATTAATTGATTTTATTTTTAGTTTAATGGGGAAGATTTCTTGAAATGAGGGCGCTATAGGTATGATCTATTTATATTCAGTCTGAGGTTAAGCGATTTATTAAGATATCTCTTATGTACCTGATTTTTTGCTTCTATTGTGTTCGCATCTTACCTGTGCAATGTATTGTACCTGGAAGTTAGACCAGTTGAAGGAAGAATTCAGGCGAGGTACATCCTGTGGTGATCTTGACTGACTAATGGATCAACGTACGGCCTAAACCGTTGGTCGTAGAAACGTGGGAGGACATATTATTTCTTATATGATGTAGGCATCTGATAGAAAGAATTTTTCGTAATTCATCCTTTATGTGCGTAAAATAGAGGATAAAAGACTATGAAACTATTTAATTCTTAATGTGAAATACACAGAAAGTGGTGTTTAGCTTCAAGTTAAAAGGCAAAGAATTATTTATTACTCTTCAATACAATTAAATAAATATATGTTTTAAAATTTTTCGAAATTCAATTCCATAAAGGGGTAAAATGGGGGATGAAAGTTTGTATGAAACTCTGTAATTAATATGTAAAAAAAGTGCAAAAATAAAAAAAAATATTTACCTGTAGACGATTTAAGAGTTTAAAAATCACTTTCTGTAAAATGATGTCCACATAGTCTTGAATATTATAAAGATTGTGATTTCGCCAATTTTGGTCGTCTTATTGCTTAAGCCTATAATTTTTTCAGTTTTTTAATCTTTTTAGGAACAAATGTTATAAATTTTATTTACATCTTGGGACTCTACAATTTGTAATTTTAATTCAGTTTTATATAAAACTATAGAGCTTTACAATATACTGAGGATCTTAGTGATCGTGACATCTGGGGGGAGAAAATTCAATAAAAATTATTATCTTTGTGTACTAGCAACAATAATTGTTTTTAATGCCCTCTTTTGCTACTTTATATGACTACAAAAGACTTTATCGGTAAAGTAGTACCTTTTATGAACTAATGCGGAGATAGATGGCGGGAGTTACGAAACAACGTGGTACTAAGAAAATTCCAACCACATCAAAATCAGCTGTGAACATCAGTATGGCCGCTCAAATATCTACAAAATAAAATAATACGCTATAATCACATTACAATAGTAAAGTGCAATTTTAGTGCTTGCGTGTACAATATTTTGCTCTCTTCGACCGTATCGGTATCGGTGTTGTTGACTAAAAGTGTTGCGTCATGACAGACCTCTCTCTCACTGACAAACAAATACAATAAAATTGATAGAGATTACGGCTAACAAAGTAACATTTCTATTTCGCTCTTATAACGTATCTGACCAGTGTATCGCTCATGTGAATAAGTGATTTAAATTAGAAATTCTGACAATGAGTAGTGTTCGGTTGAGCTTCGTGTCCGTTGGAAGGATTGCTGTGAGGAGAAATTCGCAGTTGACATCAGGTTAGTGGTAACTCATGTTTTTCTACGATTGGCCGTTTTCCAACTCTGCGTCGTAGTTAGGCACGTCCATTTAACGTGCTGTTTGATAACAAATAGCACTTCTACGTTTCAAATCGAATCCAATAAGATATTAACCCAATCTTTTAAAACTTACATAAATCTATTGGTTACAAAATAACACTACCCATATCGAGGCTGGTCTACAAGGTCATTAACGTTAAAATTGTATAATCGGTGTTTGACTTTGATTCAGGTCTCTATTTATGTAAATTATTTGTCTATTTGTAATCATTACATATACCATTTGCAATGTAAATATCATAAATATAGTAAGTAGAGAAGAAATGTTCAATTATTGATTCTTGTTACTGAATAAATAATAATAAATCAAAGGCATTCTTGAATTATATTTTGCCAAGCATGTTATGCTTATGACAAAGGAATTTGTAAAAAAATACTTTTGCAATTTTAAACCTTAAAAAAAGTAAAGTCATCAGATTATACAATTTTTTATGCTACCTACATTGCATAAAATGTAAATAAAATATTCGAAATAATATAATTCTGAAATATCAAAGATTAGAATAATCTTCACATTTGCACTTTATATAAGCTATTTATTTTATAATCGAACAATTTTTTATTTTCAATAGTTCTTGCAACTCATATCTATACTTTGTACTTAATATTTTTTTTCTTATACTGTATATATATTATTTTTATTTTGAAATGCTATACACAAATTAAGTAAAAACTAGCAGCTCACTCTCGGTATGTTTTAACATTTTCCGTTTAAGTATAGTATAAACTATATATATTTACATACATATGTATAGAAAAGTAGATAAGCTCATACTTGAAAAAGTAATATAAAAATATATTCCGTAAGGAATAATATACATAATATTTCTTAAGTAATTGAGAAATAATTGAGACCCCATACCACTCCTGTTTTCACCTCCTTAAGGGATGATTTCTGGGATAAAAACTGTCCTATGTCCTTCGCAGGGGTTGAAAATATGTTCATACCAAATTTCATCTAAATGAGTACAGCATACTAAGTGTGTAAAGGTAACGGACAGACAGACAGAATTACACATTTATAATATTTTTATAGATGAGCCTATGGAAGGGTTTTCATTTTTCGTTAATTCAGCGCCAGAATTCATTAAGTAATAGCATTTTTTAAGCTAACTGCACTCTGAAAGTATCCCTTCAAAGGATGATTTCGAATAATCTATATGTATGCATATCTTTGTTTGTAACTTTCAAGTTGAATACTCAAAAACTATGAAAATGGTAGATATTGTTACCAACTTTACATTTACCCCATTCTATCCTCTTAGGAGCCATATTAAAAAAAAAATCTAAAACTTGTATTTATTTACTATACTTGGGTTTAAGAGCATTAATATTAAGTTTCAAGTAATCCTGATCATAAATATTTTTCCCCATATAAACTTTACCACCCCATTTTGCCCCACAAATAATTCATCCTGAATTTCAAAAATACTTATAGGTAATAGGTACCTACATTCTTTTTTATAATAATACTAATTTTCGTGCATTTGACATTAAAATTACAGAATTTCAGACAAATTTTCATGCCCTATTTATTCTCTTAGGGGATTAATTTCAAAAAATTCTTTCTTAAATAATGGGCCTACAGTATAAAATCAACATCCTCTCCAAATTTTAAACCTCTATCATCAATGGTTTGGGATAAACAGATATGTCAGCCAGTAAATTGCAACATTGCCTTTTATATATAATAAAAATAGGTATAGTATATACATAAGTATAAAGTATAACAAATAATAAATAGGTATTATGGCAGACAAACAGACAAAAATTTTAATTTTGTTTTGAAAATATTTCATGTACAGTTTTCGCTAAGTTACTTACTGTTTTATTATATGTATAATTTGCAATGTATTATACACAAGAAGCTTGGAAAACAATGCTTACAAAAAGAAAGTGTGTACAGCGTTTCTCAGTATTATTGTTACACATTTGCATTGTTTTTTTGTATGTAAAGAACAATTGACCCCTAAAGTATAAAAGTGATATATATTCATTCCTATAAAATATACTTATTTCATATTCTTACATAAACAATTCTTTAAAAAAATCATTAATGCAATAATAAAATTGCATCAATTAACAAGACCGTTCAACTTTATATTTTTTTGCACTCGTTTAAAATAAAGCATGTTAAGTATACTGTAAGAAAAGTCAACGATTTTAAATGATTTTTATGATTTTTATTTATTATTATTATTACACTTTTTTGGTAAGTCAATTAAAAATAAAACTTTAATACAAAGGAAATAAAAAAACAATCCCATTGTATAAGTACATAATTCTTATATTTATTATTTTGTTCTTTTAGCTTGTATTAAGATAATATTTCTCTTGAAGTTTTCAATGTTAAATAAAAAATGTAAAATTCAGTTTTTATAGGCATCAGTAGTACCATTTTTTTATATATATATATATATATATATATATATATATATATATATATATATATATATATATATATATATTATGCTACAACTCTAAAGAGTTATTTTACATTTTAATCATTATGGGTATATTTCAATAAACTTACATAGTGATAACAGATAAGTCTATATTTTATTAATGTTTTACAAGGTATTCATTGTAATTTTTTTAATTATTAAAATATATAATGTACATAAAATATATATTATGTATTTTTATGTGGGAAAATTGCAATAAATATGTACATAAACTGGTATACAAAGTGGCTGTAAAAAGAGAAACCTATTAAACAAATGTGTATGTATTATTATTATCAATTATTTAACCATAAATAGTTAATTAATTGAAAAAAAACGATTGTTATTTTTATTTTATTTGAAATTATTTTTATGATTTCATGTTTTAGTTTTTTTGGATTATGCAATAATATTTGAATAATATTACACATATTAAAATTGAAAAGCAGTATAAAAGGTTTTGGTTAGGTAGATCACTTCTACGTCATAAAACGCTAATGAGGGACACATGAAATTGAAAGCGGGTGTAGCTGGAACATTTCGCTATTATGAGTAACATTTTTTTTCTTAGCCTATGTAAGTATATAGATGCATGCAATATACACTACTCTGAATTGAACCTAGGACAAATAAGATATTTGGAAACCTATTTTTAACTAGAAAGTATTCTTAGTTTTAACGTCGGTTTCAAGTAGTTGCTATGGCGTCGATAGCAGGTCACTGCTCTATTAACGATTAATCTATAAATGAACTGTGATAAAAGTAAATTTAATTATATTTTTATTTTACGATAAATATCTACTCGTAGGTAAAGTTGTGCGTTCTTTCTCATTAATAAAGTTAGTTGAAATATTTGTTAGTGACGAAAGTCATCTTTCGAGTTTAGCCGTTTTGAAGATTTGTGGGTATAGACAGACTGACATTCACAGACAGACAGATTTTTTTATGGTTGTGTGAATTAATTGATTTAATGATTAATGTGGTTGTTATGGTTATGTTTTGACACTGCCATTTTTTTATTAAATCTAGCTCGCATGTTTTTGTGTTTATGTGCGTGAGTGCGTAAGTGATGTATTTTCTCGCTTTACGATTGTCTCAGTTTGTATTCTATGCGATTTTTGATTAAAAAAGGTAGAGAGAAACTACCGTATTGTAATAAATGACGTGCATTCTTACACTAAGCCTGCAATACAATAGGCCATTATTTAGAAATTGAAAAGATAAGAAGCAGTCGACTTTTAGTATCCTTGAGCTTTGTTAAAGTGGTTTTTGGTGTAACTAACTATTCATGTATATGTTAAATAAGTGGACACTATTTCGAGTGCGAGAGATTCGTCATTAATTACTCGTTCAATAAAGTTTAGTTTACTTGCAGACATTTTGAAATGCTAATATTTGACAACACAGCTACATAAACAAATTCGATCATTTTCCCAAGAAACCATACTTTTGCATGTTTTGTATGGTATACATATTAGAAAGATTAAGTTCAAAGGTAGCCTTGGCTATATTTCATCACGTGACGATCATCACATGCGATTTATTTGTTTTCATATGGTTAATAATAAAAACTATTTTAATCCAGTAACTAAGCACATGAGTGAGCCAGTACTTATTTCAAATCTTAGACTAATCATGAAGTTATTTACGGGGCGTATAAAGTACCTAACTTCTTACTATCTGTAAAGATTTTATTGCTCCCCAGACGCATAATTGTTAGTTATCGGTGGCAATAATCGTTTAATAGGTAGCCCGCATAATCGTTTTATCATATATAAAATTATAATAAAATATTCGCTGATGTAAAGGTTCGATCGCTTGGGAAACCGAGTGAAGGGGGTGCAAATTCTAGGTCTCACACTTATGATATTGAATCTCGAATGTGAATATTCATCTCCATTATGCACGAATGCGAATGCGAAAGCGAATGTTGACTTTTGTAGTGGAGCTGGACTTCTATACGCACCTCACCGAAACAGGGTAGATTTTTAAAGTTACAGCAAGTTCTACTGGTTAAGTGTGTTATATGATTGTGTAGTTTATATTTCATTATCTTTAATTCATAGAAAAAGAAAATATATAATGAAAAAGTATATTATATAAACATTGTGAATATTTACAACTTTGCTTTTGTTTAAAATCGAAGTATGTAAATATTTTTTTGTTTCATGTAAAAAGAAATCATAACTTTAGTTACAAATAGTTTTTTTAAGTATTCATTATTTTGTTTTTGATTTTTGATTTCATATTGTTTGTATTCAGCCCTTTTTAACGTCCCACTGCTGGGCACGGGCCTCCTTTCAATACGAGGGGAATTGGGCCATAGTCCACCACGCTGGACAAGTGCGGGTTGGCGTACTTCACATGTCTTTCGAAAACTTGCTAAGTTCTCTAAGACATGCAGGTTTCCTCACGATGTTTTCCTTCACCGTTAAGACATTGAGAATTAAGATATTGTTTAATTCCTAGAAAAAA